CTGCTTAGCTTCTGAGATCTGATGAGACTGAGCTAGTCTGGGCCATCCAGGTCAAGGCAAGAGATGGACAGGGGTGGTTTTCCATTGCCTGCCTCTGCGTAGCAACCTGGGACTTCCTTGGTGGTCTCCCATCCAAGTACTAACCAGAGCCGACCCTGCTTAGCTTCCGAGATCTGATGAGATCAGGCTAGCCTGGCCCATCCAGGTCAAGACAAGAGACGGACAGGGGTGGTTTGCCCTCACCTGCCTCTGCTTAGCAACCTGGGACTTCCTTGGCCGTCTCCCATCCAAGTACTAACCAGGGCCGACCCTGCTTAGCTTCTGAGTTCTGATGAGATTGGACCAGCCTGGGCCATCCAGGTCAAGGCAAGAGACGGACAGGGGTGGTTTTCCATTGCCTGCCTCTGCGTAGCAACCCGGGGCTTCCTTGGTGGTCTCTTCCAAGTACTAACCCTGTGTAGCTTCTGAGATCTGATGAGAGAGGGCCAGCCTGGACCACCCAGGTCAGGGCATAATAATACGTAACTCCGTGTCGATAATAGTCATTCTGGTTTTCCATTGCCTGCCTCTGCGTAGCAACCCGGGGCTTCCTTGGTGGTCTCTTCCAAGTACTAACCCTGTGTAGCTTCTGAGATCTGATGAGAGAGGGCCAGCCTGGACCACCCAGGTCAGGGCATAATAATACGTAACTCCGTGTCGATAATAGTCATTCAACCCTGAAGATAGGCAGTGGTTGCTACAGAACTGGTTTAGCTGTCATGGCTTCTGCCTAAAGAATCCTGGGAATTGTAGTCTGGGAAAGGGGTTTTTTTGTGTGTGAGTGATGTTGGAGACCTGCAGCTCCCAAATCTTGGCTACATGCTGCAGCTGTCCAAAAGATTTCAGATGGGTTTTCTGTTCATAACGCAGATGTGCCCATCCCCGCTTCAACTGCCGACGAGCTGAACAGCAGACATCTTTTTCTGTCCCCGTACCTCCCAGTATTAAAATGCTCCGTTGTCCTGTCCCTGTAGAGAAAGGGACATGAGTCTCTGGCTGCCTCGATGGTAGTTTTGCGTTCTTTCCCTTTCTCCGAAGCCTTCCCCGAAAACTCCTGCCGTGGAGTCGGTGGCTGGCGCCGCGCTTGGGGTGGGCAGACAGGCCCCATTGCTACACAGGCTTGGTAAGAGCTTCTCCATTAATGGGGTCAGGGTTTGCAGTGATAAAGATTTGCTGTTGTTAACTGTGTCAAAAAATCAATAAATCCTCTGCGATGCTTGGCTGCGATAGGCAAGAAGAAATCCCCGATAGCCAGCTAAGCGGCGGGGGCTGGGCACACACTGGCTGGGAGGGAGCGGGGGGGGGGACGATGACACGGGGACTTTGCATCAGAGGAGACCCTAGAAAAGCAGTCAGAGGTGGACGGGATCAGGGGCATTTGAACCACCGGCTCGCTCCGGGAGATCGCTCTGCTGCCGGGCTGCCATTTTGAAATGAATCGCCGCCGACGGACGCTCCGGGAAGGCCGCCCAGAGGACCGGGTGCCAAGAGGCAAAGGTGAGGGGCAGTGTGGCGGTTCGAGGACTATAATGTTTTGGGAGGGGTGGCTCCCTGATGGGCTGGACTTTGCCGCACCCTGACTCGTTGATAACTCTCTCGCCAGCTGCCGTTTGAGCTGTAGAGGCGCCACGGGCTGACTGTTGCTGTGGGTCCAAGAATGGCTGCAGCGCCCTGCTTGCGAGGTGGGGCAGACCTTTCTCCCCTAGCTGTGGCTCTCCCCCCACCCCCGCTTCTGTTGCTGGTTGCTCATGTTCAAAGGGCTTCTGGTTTGGACGTGGGCTGGTTTGCCCAAGGTTCCCATCCTGCTAGGTCTTGGCTTAGACAGGCAAGGCAGTTCTGGGAGGTGACTTTGACCAGGGAAACAAATCCACGTCCCATACATCTGGG